TTAGGAAGGATGTTTTCCAACGGAACCAGGCATCCGATGTTGGTCTGCTGCCGCAATCAGTCCAAAATGGAGATGGGGGTTGGACGGAAAGGTTCATTTTTGCCTCCGCGACGCCACAATGTTGTATCGAGAAAGCCGTAGAAAAGGTAAAATGTATCTCACAAAATTAACTAAGTACAACTGAGTCAATCCCTTGTTAAACGGAGAGTCAAGCGACAGACGCACACAACCAATAGTAATGAGTCAGCAAGCCAACCAATGAGATCGAGCCAATCGAGGTTGCTGACATGATTACCACAGTTTCTAATCATGATCGTTTTGTGTATGTTTGTCGGGGAGAAAGCGATATTTATGACCAGTATTTCTCTGTGTTTAGTCCAGGTTTGGGATAGTTTTGCATGAACCGCTCACTTCTCTTTAGATTCTTTGATACCAACGACAGCGCTACCGGCTAAGAGAGTTCCATTTGCACTGCGTGACAGGTTTCTCGCTGAGTTGATCACATTATTGAGAGGGTGTGGTTGTCAAAGTCCACGAGCCAACCGACTGGGTTAGTCAGGTCGTAATCAGTACTAAGAAGACGGACGAACTGCGTGTGTGTATCAACCCAAAACCACTGAATGATGTCTTGCGTAAGGCGCATCATCCACTACCTACCCTAGAAGATATTTTGCCGCGTTTGGCCAAAGCTAAGTGTTTCACGAAGGTAGACCTCTCTTCAGTAATTTGGTACATAATTCTAGATGATGAATCCAGTGTCCTTACTACCTTTGCAACACCCTTCGGGCGTTATCGTTGGCTTCGTTTACCGTTTGGCTTGAAGGTGTCGAGTGAAATTTTTCAAAAGCGATTGGTGCAAGCGGTAAACGCTTTAGATGGTGTAACATGCGTGGCAGACGATGTTTTGTTCTATGGCTCAACAGAATAAGAGCATGACGCTAACCTCCACCGTTTCTTACACGGTTGTGTGCAAAAGAATATCAAGCTTAAACATGAAAACTTGAACTTGGGAAAGCCGAGGTGCCTTTCCGTGGGCATTTACCTACAACACATGGGGTCAGGGTCGATTCAGCAAAGACAGTTCGAGAGATGCGGCCTCCTAATGACATGAAGGAAATCCGTCGCTTAAAAGGTATGATGAATTACTTGAGCCGTTGTATGCCCAGACTTGCTTATATCGTGACACCGAGCAGGGAGTTAACTTACAATGGAGTAAAGTAGAGTTGGGGTAAAGAACAGGAAATCGCATTCGAAACTATTGAGCTCCGCATCAGCAATGCGCCTGTACTCGGGTATTACGATCCAGCGCAACCCTTGGAGATGCAGTGTGACATTAGCCAAGACGGAATGGGTGTTGTTCTCTTAAAGAATGGAAAACTTTTGGATTTCTGCAGTTGAGCACTCACGGTGACCGAACAGCGCTACGCGCAGACTGAGAAGCAGATGTTTTCCGCAGTCTATGCCGTGGCGCTTTTAAACGGTTATGCTTTCAGAAGAAAGCCACCGTTGTATACCGACCACAAACCGCTTGTGTCAATAACCAGGAAACCGCTGCATGTGGTTCCCGGGCGCGTTCAGCATATGCTTATCCGGCTTCAAAAGTGCAATGTGGTTGTTGTGCATAGGCCTAATGCACAGTTGTGCACCATGGATGCACTGCCAAGAACTTATCTGCTGGTACCCGAGCATAATCCGGAAGAGGTCGAAGCAGTAAACTTAGTACAGAACCTGGCAGTGACAGAAGATGGCCCAAAGGAAATAAAGCGCTACAAAGAGGAAGATGCAACGCTTTCAAGTTTGCTAGATCATATCCTAAATAGATGGCCAGGGATAAAGAAGCAACCACCGAAGGAACTAACACCCTAGTTTTAGTTTCGGGATGAACTCTCTGTTATTGATGTTCAAAGGAAGCCGTTTTCTGACTCCGTCAGCATTTCGAGGAGAAATGCTGAAATACGTTCACGGCGCTCACCTTGGTGCCAATTATACCATGAACCGAGCAAGCGAATTGATCATTTGGCCAGGAGTGACAAGTCAACTAAAAGATCGTATGTCGAATTATGAGGCTTGCTGTCCACAGGAAATCCGGCAGGCGAGGGAACTGATGATGCTGCAGGATGTCCCTGAGCGACCGTGGCAGAGGGTTGCGGTGGATTTACGCAATGCTAAAGGAAAAGATTACTTACTCAAGGTGAGTTACTATAGTGATTGTTTTGCAATCGATCTACTTACTAGTACGACCACAGAGGCAGTAATTAACAAACTCGGACGTCAGGACGCGCCGCACGGTATACCGGAGGGGCTGGACTCCGAAAATGGGCCCCAGTTTACCAGCGATGCGTTCCATGAGTTCGAAATCTGGTATAAATTCATGCACCAGCAAACCAGCTCATATCACAGTCAATCGAATGGAAAGGCAAGATCAGCAGTGAAGCAGGCCAAACGACTATTAAAAGCTAGAGCTATTGGCGAGGTCCCGTACCTCATGTTACTGGAGAATCGCAACACTCCTGCAACGAATATCGTTTTGAGCCCGGTGCAACGCTTATACAGCCGAAGGACAAGAACTCAGATACAGACACCTCCCACACTATTGCACCCAGTTTTGCCACAGCATGAGCGATTACAGAACAGTCTGAGACGACGAAGGATCACTCAGAAACGGTATATGACCGAGATGCAGGCGAACAGTGGGGTAGGGCTGTGTGATCCTTCACTGAGGCGACAGCACGCCATATCTTTAGGTCGTCTTCAAATAGCAGACAGTTTGAAGACAGCACAGTTGAAAGCGCATTTATGAAAAACAGGAACAGGCGTGGCCGGAGTGCCGAGACGTGAGGTATGCCAGACTGTACTTCGATTGGTTCAGACAGGGCGCTGCGTGCCTTAACATTCAGGTGACTTTGCACGAAAAAATCGAATAATTTTCCTAGAACGGAATCGCCGATACCATAATTCTGGAGTTTTCTTAGCAGAACGTGATAGTCCAGTCGGTCGAATGCTTTTTAGAAATCCAGGTAGATTGCATCCACGCATACAGCAATGTTCACAGATTCCGTCCAGGTTGCACGAGCTAGCAACAGTTCAGTGGTGCAGGACCGGTTTTGGCGAAATCCGGCTGCTCCGAAGGGAGGATTTTGTTATTCTCCAGTTATACCACGTGCGCCTCAGCTACAACGTACTCTTACAGATCACCGGAAGAAGTGTCATGGGACGATAATTCGCTTGTTCCACACGGCTATCACTTTTGTAGGTTGGATTGATGCTCCCGTGCTTCTACATCTTGGGGACATGCATCTCATTAAGAGACCACTGAAAGAGTGTTGCTAAAGGTTCAGCTAAGTTCATGACGGCAACTTTCGACGCATTCGAGCGAATGCGGTCCGCACCCTGGGAGCTGTATATGCGCAAGGACATCAGCCGTTTCAATACAGCTACGATTTTACAAGATATATGCTTAAGACCTGATAGCGGCATGAGCTGCGTAGGCATGAGTTAGGATGGTTTGCACACTGGAAGTTATGGCCAAATTGTTGTCCAAGTACGTTGTCTGCCTATTGTGCATTTTGTGCTAACCCGCATGCTGTGTGCAAAGCCGGAATTCCGCGCTTAACGCGGAGAAATTTGTTTATGTCTGTATAGCAGCTTTGGGTTAGTGTAAAATGATAACACAAGATCTTGCTGATTATTTAGTTTATACTCCCGGACGAGTTTGACACAGTGGCTATTTTGTGTTGTACAGACGCCCCAAGTATCCTCGCTCGAAGAGGCTATGTGGGCGTGCCATGCTAAATCCCCCAGTGCCATGCATTTGCGGGTCCTGCTCCTTAGAAACGACTTTATCTTTTGCATCGATGGATTTCGGTTTCATATGCGTTGGCCACTAGGCTGTTGAATCTAGTGACGAAATCCAGCAGACCGCTTCAGGAGCCCAATCGGTTAGGAAAGACCAACTTGTCGCATCAATGAGTTCGGACAGGTTATCATAGTTGCTGCTGACGTAAGATTTCTCACTAATTTCTTCAGGATACTGCATAGCACAAGTATTGGAACATTAGTGTTGCATGCTCGCTGCGGCTCAAAGGAGTGCACGTCGTTGCTACTTGGATCATCAGTTCCACGTTGGTAAAAGCAAGATGCATGATGGACGGTTTGTTCCTTGTTCTGAAACGCGTCGGAGAAGTGACGTGGTTGTACAGTAGTGAACCAGCCATTAGCTCTTGCAGATCCGCCTTGAGTTGTACACCCAGAGTGGTCGGGGTTTCTAGGCCGTGCAGATTGAAATCCCCTAATAGGAGAACGTGGCTGTAAGGTCGTTCCAGTAGATTCTGTATAGCAGAAGATAAGGCCTGGTCCATTTTTAAAATGGACGTTACTGTGCTACATACCATGGGCACAAAGAATCTATCGTCCTGCCTTAGATGTAGGCAGCACCACAGGGCGCCCACCGTTTGAATCCCACAGTCGTTTAGGTGTTCGGAACGGTAGTAGAAAACTACACCGCTTCCCTTTGTGGGTCGGTCATTTCACAGGAGCAACCTCCTAGGTACTACAAGCTCGGCGCCGGTAATCACATTGCTCAACCATGTCTCGGTTACCATGATAAAGTCCCAACACATTGAGGTTTGAAAAGATTGTAGTTCTGCCAATTTACTGAGAAGCTCCTGGACGTTTGTACAAAAACGACTGAGAGCAATGAATGCCAGAAGAATATTTGCACCTATATAGGTTTCTCAAGATAGTACGCCGTCCATTGTAATGCTGGCTGACAATTCCGTTTTGGTTATATTACTTCTCAACGATTTTACAGAATGGTGCGGCGTTAGGTCGGAGGCGAATACAAACCATAAGAAGGAAATGTGATTCTGTCTTTTTCGGAAATGTGCGACGAACTTAAGGAACAGCGCGACCATATTCCGAAAGCGTGCGACGATTTTGCAGCACTGTTAGACGATTTTAAGGAATAACGTGACGATTTTGCGGAATGGTGCAGCGAGTTTATGGAATGCTGCGTCGATTTTACGGAGGAGTTCCAGGACTTTACGGAACGGCAAGACGATTTTACGGAACCGATCGACGAATTAACGGAACCGTGCGATAACTTTTCGGAACCGTACGACGATTTCTCGGAGCCGTGCGATAAGAGTAAGGAAAGATGAGACTAGTTTACGGAATCGCGAGACCATTTTTCGAAATTGGATTACGATTTCACGAAAAAATGCAGCGATTTTAAGGAATGGTGCGGCGATTTGTCGGAGGCGTATAGAAACCATATGACGGAATTGCGCTACGGTTTATCGCAATTATTTGAAGATTTTGCGGAACCGTGCAACGACATTATGGAACTGTCCGACGAATTAACAGAAACGTGGTGTGAAGTTACGGAACTGCGCGAATACTTGTCAAACGCGAATACAAGCCATAAGGCAGAAATGTGTTTCGGGTTAGAAGGTTGTGATGATATTATGGAACTGCGCGACGATTGTACGAAACCGTTCGACGATTTTACGGAGCCGTGTGGATTCTTGACGTTTAGTAGCACATACTAGTAGGAGGGCGTACGAACACAATCTCATATGGCCCCTGCCATTTCCGATGGAATTTCCGTGCTGCGCCAGCTGGAGGTATTGGTCGGTATGGCCATACACGATCACCTTTTCGGTATTCAGGGCCTCGAGTTTGGCGATAGTAATACTCCTTCTTGCTGTGCTGCGCTCTGTTCGTATGCTCCTGCGCGCTTTGAAAGGATACTCGGAGTCGCTCAAGGGTAATGCGGCCGTAGTCCAACATAGAGTAAGCTTCAACCGGACAAACGGGTGATAGTAATTCCAGAGGTAAGCGAATCTCACGGCTGAGAGTAAGGTAGGCTGGAGAATGGCCTGTCCTAGAGTGCATTGAGGCCCGATAGGCAAGCAAACGTTGTGGCAATGTTTCGTCTCACTGATTGGACTGATGGCGTTCGACCAAGCTCGGTGGGATGGACTTGATAGTCCTGTTAGTTTGCTCATTGAGCCCATTTCCTTGTTGATGATGTGGTGTAGTTCGTATCTTTTAATGACTAGCAAGCGGCACGTTTCTTGCATTAGTTGACTCTCAAAAGCCAAGCGCTGATCGGAGTGCAAGGGTATGGGTGAGTCGCAACTAGCCACACACACCTTGTCCATGGTGGAAGCGACCGTGGATGCATTTTGGCATCTGCTAGGTGTTGCCTCGCACCACTTCGTGAAGTAAGCTATCATAACTAGTATGAAGCAGTTCCCGCTCTTTGTTATCGGTAAAGGACCACTGACGTCTACTCCAGTTCGTCGCCCTGGTGTGGAAAACTATTGGTTCCAAAGGAGCATGAGGGACAGACACCATTGGTTTCAAAGTAGCACAGTGCGCACCTGACGCACAGAACTGAACGACATCGGCGTGGATGCCCTCCCACCAGTGCCGTTGACAAACTGCAGCCTCCGTTTGCACCTGACCGGAATGGGCCGATTTTTGATGAACCTTTTGTATTATTCCAAGAGACCGGGTCAGCGGAGCAATCGGTTTCGGACCGGATTTATCAACGCGATACAGAACTCCGTCAATGATTCTTAAGTCCTTTCGGTGCCCGAGCAGGGAGCGCTCTTCTGAGGTACATTCATGAAGTTCAGTTCCAGTGGGTTTCGGGTATCTATTCAGCTGTCGGTTGTATGTGTTAGCTGTGGACGGGTCACATGCTTGCTCTTCGGCCCACGCAGTACCGGTCTGTGGGGTTACGTAAGCCGAATTGACCTTTACGGATCTCACTAGCCTTAACAGCGCGGCTGCATTAGAGTGTCGGGACGATATTCGCAGGTAAAATCGTATTCTTGAAGCTGTTTCTGCTATCTTGCTACCTGACCCTCCGGCTCACGAAACCTGTTAACCACTGAAATGGCTGGTGGTTTGTGCGAATCTGAAAAGACTTTCGCAGTAGATACAGCCTAACATGTCGCAAAAAGTTAACCAACGCCAGTAGTTCCCGTCGATTGTTGCTGTACTTCCTCTTGCGTTCATCGAATTGGCGACTAGCGAAGGAGATCATAACTTTGCCCGCCGGAGTTCCCTGGGATAAAACTGCGCCGATTGCTTCATCGCTCGCATCTGTAAGCAACACAAAAGCTCCCGAATCTGGTGAGGTGTCAGGGAGCGTCAAGATTGGGGGTGTCGTAAGATGAACTTTCAACTCTACAAAGGCATTCTGACATGCGTTAGTCCAGAGGAATTTTCGTCACCTCTCAGTTAAGTGATGTAAGGAAGCTGCGATGGCCGCAAAATAAAAATTAAACCGTCGATAGTACGAAGCCAACCCTAAGAAACTTCGGAGTTCTGCCGACGTTTTAGGTTGTGGCCAGGAAGTAATTGTTCGCCCTTGGCGGGGCCGGTCCTCACACCTTCATGGGAGATAATGTGCCTCAAGTACTTAAATTCACGCAGGAGAAAATGACAGTTTGGACCCCGTAGTTTCAAACCCGGCAGGCGCAGCCGATCCAGTACGAGGCGCAGCCTTCGGTTATGCTCCTCAGTGGATCGCCCATAAAAGATTATGTCCTCCAAATAAATTACACAGCTACCAGGTGTCAGACCGTCCAGGGCTTTCTGCGTTAGTCTCTGAAACATAGCCGGAGCATTAACAGACCAAAGGGCATCGGCTGATCTTCATATGGACCGTTTGGAAGCGTGTACGACGTTTTCTCACGGTCCTTGGGTCTTACTTCTAATTGCCAGTAACCACATGCAAGATCCAACTTACAGAACCAGCAAGAACCATGGAGTGCATCGAACGTGGCATCAGTACGAGGGAATGGAAATGAATCTTTACCTGTTACCTCGTTAAACTTTCGATGATCAACACAGTCGCAAGGTCTCGCCTCGCTTCTTCACTAAAACGATAAGCGACTCCCATGGTGACGACGGTTTAATAATAGGTTTGTCCGGTATCTCTTTAAACACTGACTCCAACTGTGGTTCGTAATGAACCGGCAACCTGCGCGCAGGTTGACGAATAGGTCGGTGGGACATGGTGTCAATCTCATGTTCAACTGAGTCTGTGCGGCCAGTGTCGTCAATGGTTTGGGTGTAGATTGCTAGTGAAAGTTTATGTAAAAGCTGACCATGGTGCAAAGCTGACTTACCTCGGGGTTTTCGAAAAACGATAGGTGGGTTGTGGCCACCGTGATGGGCATGTCTGCCGAACGGCTGCCAGTATACGCAGTATTCCAAGGGGATTTTCGTGTTGGTGTATGGTGCCTGTGATCAGCTGCGAAAACGTCCGGTCCTGGGCGTACGATTGCACAACTATCAGCACCAAGATGGGTTCGGTCGGCTTTGACTTGCTTCAGAAACTCCCGATTCCTGGCCTTTCCCAGAACCTCCTGCAGCGAACGAGGAAGTTTTAACGTATATTTGTCACGGAGGTTTTGGTCGCTTAGGCCCATCGCGAACTGCTCACATATCCACTTTTTTTGAACTTCTTACTAAAGATCTGGAAACCACTTGTGAGCCAAAATTCGGAGAACCGTTAGGAAGGTCTCTGCCTTCTCCGAGGATAGTTGACGCCGAGCAAGGCAGGTGTCACGGTAGAAAGCAAAGGGGTGGCATTTAGAAAACCGTTTTCGGAGAATGGGTCAAATCTTTTCCAAGGGTGAATTAGCATGTACGCTCGTCCTTAGGAAAAGCTGCAGCACTTCTTCACTTAAGAAACTGAGAGTGATCGAGCCGAGTGCTCTTTCTGGCGCTGCAGCGATTTACCCGGTAACTTGAAAGTACCAGGTTTCAAAGTCATCACCCAGACGGAAAACACGCAGTTGGCGACTAAGGAACTGGACCTGCCAACTTGCGTCTCGGACCCAACACTCAATCTTCGGTGGGCTGGAAGCACTTTTGCTCATACTTGTAGAACTGCCCGCAACGCCAATTTGCAAAATATTCTGGATGGCAGGTTCGAGCCACGGACGAGAAGTCCCGGCTACAAACGAACTGCACTTGAGAAGCAGCGACCGAGTAACTAACGCCGTAGCTGGTACGAAACGGCAATTACGCAAGGCGACGATGCTCTAATGAGCAGAATACGAGAACGAGCGGCGTGGACGGAGAGAGTGTATTCAACAGTGCGGCATACGAATAGCGTGGTACACCGCAAGCAAGTATATAAACAACGAGGGTACAGAGAACAGGTACTGGACCTGGCTTTTGATTCCCTTCAGTCGTTGTGCATTAGGTCCGCCAAGCCCCGTAAAACAAGCAACGGAGACATTAGTAATGGCGGTCAATTTAAACAATACATTGCGGTCTCCAACTGTTAAAACCTTTAAATCAATTCGCGTACTCATTGTACTTAACACTCCAGAGCCTCGTTGTGTAGTAAAACTCTCCTGTTCATCTCTGAAGTATTTTTATATCACAGTCAGTAAACTCTTCCCAGACACTGGGTAAAGTAACAAGCAAACGCTTGCCAAATTTATATATATATTTTGTGCAAACTGATGTCTATATGTTTGGATAACTCTCTGCCAGCTATTGAAGCTCTATTTCCACTTACTGGAATTCGTTTTATACCTGTTCCTTACATATCTGGATACTATTGTTTATTGCATTTTTCCTCTGCGTCAACCTCACAGACTGGGACTTTTTTGCATCGTGGTTTTTTATTCGATCGAGTAAGGGTGGCGGCTGCGGGTCGCCGGCGTGAATTTGTAAGAATAGGACACCTGTAAGTCGAAATCGAAACCGCCATGGGTCGTTTTAAAGACTATTTAAATGATCTCTTTCTTTTCTCTTTCATTTGCTATTTCTCGTAGAAACCGCAGATATATGACAACGTGCGAAGTCAATTTACCGACCCAAAAACTCTGACATTCCTCTTTTGTTTTGATTGTCTTATCAAGGTCCTGTACACTCCTCGTGTTTTTTCCTGTTGTGGATAAACGTGCTTCCTCCGTGTCTGCTCGTTTTGCCCGTGTCACGCTTGCGTATTTGCGATTCTGTGAGTGCCCGGTTGCTGTGTGTGCTTCCTCGCGTCGTGTGTCCGCTGTGATTGACCGTGCTGCTTTCTACCGCCGTTGATTCGTTTCCGTGCCCTGTACTTCCCCCAGCCTCCCGCTCGGTACCCCCGGTCGCCGGCCCATTCCATGAACTATCCGTTACAATACACTGTATACGAGTGGAGACCGGGACTCTCACATCTTGGCTGGAACTGGTTATTGCTGGGCCCAAGATGAACGGCCCGTGCACAGTCCAGGAGTAATAACGGTAGCGGCAGGAATACTGATTTGTGGTTAAATAATTTGTAAGGGGGGGGGGGGGGGGGGGGGGGGGGGGGGGGGGGGGGGGGGGGGGGGGGGGGGGGGGGGGGTTGGGGGGGGGGGGGGGGGGATGGGGGGGGGGGGGGGGGGGGGGGGGGGGGGGGGGGGGGGGGTTGGGGGGGGGGGGGGGGGGTGTTGAAATAAATAAACCAAGTGGGCGGAGGTGGTAAAAGAATAGATATCGAGATATATTTTAAAGAGATAAAAGTTTTAGCCGTAATCCTTGGAAGCCCAATGCCACGATTTGCCAACTGCAATAAGTTGGGACGACAGTGGACCTATGGTTATATGCGGATAGTAATTGCATTCGGTTAAACATAAATGAAGAGACAAGCCATTTTAAAGGGAGGTATATGAAAGGCGTGGGTACACTTACAAAGTGAGTGAGGAAATACATATTTTGCTGACCCTCCACATGTCTTCTCATAGTAATTTCCTTTTTCGTAACTGCTTGTGCCAGAACTGTTTTTGCGTTCCTTCTGAAATAGGTGGGCCGAAGACGGAAATGGCTTTGATGCGCGCAATGGAGATGTCAAATCACGGGGTAACCACGGATGTGGACTAACAAATAAGCAAAATTACCCCTGGCGAATATGGCGCAAACAAGATTTACATAAGGGGCTCTGTTATTAGTGAATGGCGTATTGGGTAAAGGAGAAAAGTAACGCCGGAATTCGTCAGTTGCTATTATCTGTC